GTGTGAAATGAAAGAGCAGAACTTCCAGTTTGGTCAGAGCTGTGAGTTTAATGCTGCTTGATGAAACACAGTAAACATGATCAGCTGTACTCACCAGTGTCTGAGTCGGTGGCTGAGAAAGAACCGATGAACCCTGTTGAATTTGTCTTTGGACACAAACACAGAGACTCGTCTCAACTACAGCTCTGCTGTCGCTCTGACAAACTTTCACTTTCATTTGAGGAACGTGACTGAAACTTTCCTCCCTCTGATACTGACCTCTGCTGGACTCAGGCAGGAAACACATCAGACTTTTACAAACCTCAGACTCTGAGGTGAAGACTCGGGTTTCAAATTAAAACTCTTCCACAAACAGTTTCTTCTTCAGCCAGGATTTACCCACAGTGGTACTGTACAGCAGAGAAGTTTCATTCAGCACTAAACGTGTTTCTATTCACTTCTCAGCGTCTGTTTCAGTCACTGACATGTGTCAACAGCTTCTGTCTTTTCTGGACGAGGCTGAAGGCTCAGTGCTGGACTCAGAGACTCACTGCAAACATCCCATCATGGATTTGTTAGAAAACCTCTGTGGCCAGTGTTAACTGGTAGTTATGGTGTTCAGACACAGAGCTGCAACGTGCTTCATAGACAACGTGACAAATACCACAATCATTAAAGAAAAGTCAAAGACAAAAGGTGCAAAAGTAAAATGATGTGAAAAGGAGGGGGGAGGGTATCAGGTTATGCATTCATAAATCTTCATGGCCCCAAAATAAGCTACAACACTTTTCAGTTCTAACCTAACTTGAACTATACACAGACAGTGATTCTGTCGACAGCGTTACCAGGTCCACTATTCTCCAACCCTAACCTATCACAGCACGCATGTATCAGAGCATTTCTCCACTCCGACCTAAAAACAAAGCATCTGAGTCCTGTCCTCAGCCGAGCAAAGATATTTAATGACTTGACACACAGACTACACACTGTGTGTTCTCAGGTTATACAGTGGCCGGTCCAGCTGGCTTGGTAGGCAGTGACATGTGAGAGCCAGGCCCGCTCAGGAGGGAAGGCAGGTCTGCAGGGTCCCCAGGTCATGTAGAAATACTTCAGTACAAATTAAAGCTCTGTAGGTAAAGTCTTACTTTAAAATAGATTTTACTTTTTAAAAATTTCCTTAGTTGAGTGGTTTAAATAACGTGATGATTTACACAGTTTAACTAATGATCAAATACATATTTCATGGCTTGAAAATACTTCCTGTGGGTATGGTGGAGGACATATTGGAATACAATGAAGTATGAGGTTGTTCTGGCGATAGGGGCAGGCGGGAGCTCCGGAGCTCCTCTGGCGCCCCACCCACCCTCACGCTATTGCACAGAGGGGGCATTTTAAGCATATTTGAATATGGGGGGGCATCCTCCCTAATATATAGTATAATTATGGCCTTAATAAACAAACAAACCATTTTTCGTGCACATTTACAAGCAGGCGCTTTAGAGACACCTATAGACTGTCAAACTGCCGGGTCCTTCCGGGTCCTTCCTGGCTCCTTCCTGGCTCGAGGCATTCCACCAGACAGGTCTAATAGACCGATTACCGTGGAAAAAACCCATTAATTAATCTGAACTCCTCCAAAAGCCGAACGGGTCCTGTGAGTTATGATGGGCGGTAAGACCAGCGCGATAGCTGCGGGGGTGTGTGGGGCTCTGTTAGTCGGTTACTGCATTTATTTTGACAGGAAACGACGGAGTGACCCCAACTTCAAGAACAGGCTGCGAGAACGTGAGTGTTGACCTCTTCTTCCCTCCTCTTCCTCGTCTTAAACAGGCCTGGTTGCTCGGACCCGGTCCGGTTTAGCCTGTTGATTAAGTTTGTCCCAGTATCAGGCTGTGTAGCCCCCCCACTAAACGTTTTGATTTATGAAGCTAACACGCCAAACTCCATTCAGTTGTCAAGCGTTTTAATGTCTTTTTACTACACAGGCCAATTATTGTAATTGACAGCGCACAGATAAGACCTTCAACCAGATCACTAGGTCTTCGGTTTGAGCATAGATAAGACCTTCAACCAGATCACTAGGTCTTCGGTTTGAGCATAGATAAGACCTTCAACCAGATCACTAGGTCTTCGGTTTGAGCACAGATAAGACCTTCAACCAGATCACTGGGTCTTCCCGTATCGTAATGTCATTAGGATTCTGTCCAGCCGTCTCCTTATTTAAGATTAAAATTCGTCGAACTGATTTTTAATGATGCCTGATAAGACCTGGGTATAGAGACGTGATCTGGGCTCATAAACAACGCAAACCTGTTGGACTCTGGTTCGTGTCTGTAGGACATGGATACAGTTCAAGTTGACACATAACGTCGTTGGCTTGATTTCTGTTTGCAAATGTTTCTTAACATCAACTTCGATGGGTTACATATATAACCTATGTCATATTTTAGATGGATATCGTTTCTTAGTGTGTCACTGCTGTCTCACACAGTGCATCTAAGAGACTGAACGGAGTAAATGACTGGCAGTGGAAATATTATTACACTAAGATGATATGTGGGGGATTGAAGGGGAACTATTCAGTATTATTAAAACATGTCTATCAGGTATGAAACCTACAGAAGATCATGTTAAACTCAGACTTTTCTGTGGAGTTTTATTCCTTTATTTATCCATTAGCATGTTAACTAGGAGTTTTATTCCTTTATTTATCCATTAACATTTTAACTCAAAGCAACACCCGGGATCATATTTAAAAGGACACACAATTGCACTGGGTTGGCATTAAGAGCCTTGCTCATGGGCACCTTAGCAGTGAGGAAGTGCTGACTGGCATATTCTGTTTCTTCCTTTCCCTGCACAGATTTATGGAGCCAGTCTGCTGATTGAAGCAGCAGCCTTCCCGTATCATATATGGTCTTAACCCAGTTCTTGAGCAGCAGGCTTTTTATTCTTCACTGTTAATTAAAATGACTGAGGCCCTGTACTATCTTTCCTCTCCTCTGACCTGCAGCACTCACTCATTTATCAAGCTGCTGGACAGTTTCAGGCTGTTACACAACAACACAGTCATGTCAGCTTACTGCTGGGCTTTCAGCCAGATGCAGGTTATGGTTTTATTCAGGGAGCAGTGAGGTGAGGCTGCCTGAGCAGCAGCACTTTTTTACCACTTCTGAACAAATCCACTAGAAGCTTGTGAGCGTTCAGTGTTTTGGAAGTAGTTTCTACTTGCTGAGCTTTGATTGGACTGTCAGTCAAATCACATGACTCTTAAACAAGAACAGACTTTTGGCCAACAGTGATGTGACTGATGCTGCTTGAGACAACAAGTACCCGGCAAATGTTTGAGGCACTAGAAATAAAGTGCAGACGCTTTCAGAAATAAGACATTAATAGTTATTTTGCAGTGAACTTTATCCCCCCACCCCCAGGAGAAGCTGCCACAGTTCTTCTGTAGATTCAGGCTGTCTCGGTGTCTCTGTCTCTACATGTGATCCCAGACTGGCTCCATGGTGCTGAGGCCAGGGTTCTGTTGGGGCTGGATCATCTGCTGCAGGACTCCTGGTTTTTCTGGTCTCTGAACTAGGTCTTTATGACTCCGGCGGCAGGTCTGGCCTCAGTATCAGGCTGCAGGATGAATCTGTGACTGATTAGACGCCTCCTGGTTGGAATAAGACTCAAGGAGACGTCCAACTGTTATAACAGCACAGAGGTTAACAGGAAAGATGCTATTTGGATAAAATTAAAG